AACTGGAAGCAGCATATTCAGAAGGTATTAAATAAATTAAACTCTTTTGTCTATGCTCTCCAGCATCTCAAACGTATTACGGACTTTAGGACCGCCCTTGCTTCTTACTATGCATATGCATATTCCGTACTATCGTACGGTGTCATTTTGTGGGGGAACTCTAGTGATGTAGGTAAAGTGTTCTTACTGCAAAAGAAGTGTGTAAGAATAATAAGTAATATTGACCAAATGGTATCCTGTCGACCTCACTTCGTCAAGAACCAAATACTGACACTTACCTCCATCTATATTCTCGAGTCATGTAAATTCGTCAGAAAGCACCCTCAACTCTTCTCACCCCTAAATAATAATAATAATAAGAGACACGACCGAAACCTAAATAAACTTAGAGTACCCTTTCCCAGGATGGAATTAGTTGCCTCTGGCCCCCCAAATATGTTGATCAGAATTTACAACCACATACCAAATAGTATAAAAAAACCTGGAAAGATTGACACAATTTTGTAAGGCATTGAAAACATTCCTCATCAATAAACCTTATTATAATTTAAAAGAATTTTTTGACAACCAGATTAAATGATTAAATGATTTGACCTTTAGGTAACTTAATTAATAATTAGAATAAGAATTCATAATCAATATATATTTCATTTATTACTGTTTAAAAGATTATTATTATTATTTCATTTTCTCTTTTTATCTCTGACGACTCGATAAGATGATTAATTTTATTATAATTAATTAATTAATAACTATTAAATGTATAAGTTTAATTCAATATAGTAACAAGACTAGTAAAGTAAAGAATGACATTGTAAAAATTAATAATGTAGCTATTGTAATATTATAAACGACGTATTCTGTAATTATAAGTATGAACTCGGTTTTCTGCAGTTGCCATGCCCTTGCAGGGCGTCACATGTTATCTGCCCAACGCCAAATTTAACATCTTAAATTAGCTATGTATGTGACATGCAATAAATGAATTATTATTATTATTATTATTAAAAATGAAATTTCACACATAAATTCCGAGAAACTCAAAGATGCGAAACACGGATTCGAACCTACAGCCTCTGCTTGAAAGGCAGGTCAAACCATTAGGCTACAACGACATAATTTGGCCCAAAGTTAAGTTTATTTATTTTTCTCTTTTCATGGGTAAATCATAATACAGGTTCTTCATAATTCTTTTCTACTACATCTTGCATAATGAGTGTAATCACTTCCAAAATCTATGTAAGAATAACTTTTATGTTTCTATTAATTTATTAGTTCTTTATGACATTTGGAACTAGTTTCATTTAGGTTTTATGGAATTGAGTCATTGTAGTCTTATAGTTCTTATCGGCTTAGCATTATTTACCGATTTATTAAAAAAACAATCATTGGTCTCGTGGCCTATTCCATACTTAGAATAGTCTAAGTGGCATACACTGAGGTACCACGCCAGCACATCAAGCTACACATGGACGTATCTTGTTCCATTGCACTGGAGGCGATTTTCGAACAAAAATGTGTAGTCTGATGTGCCGTTGTCCGTACATGGCATTTGTTTGACGTATACTCCCCTTTATTTGCAATTATATAAGACAGATGATTTCAGTACTGAATGGGGAACTGGTTCATACAATGTCCTTGTTCACGTGCACGTGACGTAAACAGACAATCTGACCGGACATTTGCTAAGTGATGACAATAGACTACTCAGCAGTGCAATGACCGTTCTGAACTAGGCTGCTGAGTAGAGTAGTTAACTTTATGTATACATTTAAAAATAATATTGTTTATAGTCACACACACTTACATACCGTTTTGTATAAATAGCTTAAGTTTTGTAAATAAAACTCTCTTTGAATTCGGACATCAACGCTGTCTTATTGACAACGGAGCACTCCTGACTACAGCATCCTCTCACTGCGGCCAAGACACCTTTAGCCGTTAGCTTATCCGATCAGTCTTGTGAGTCTGTGAGACTGGCAGTGAGAAAACCATTTCCTAAAGCACCTTTATCCTCCCCCCCTTTCCGTCTGTTGCCTTAGGTCGCACGGTGACAGGCTTCCCCTACTATTTATATAAGTATATATTCCGTAGCGTATGGTTAGGGCTAGGCTGTTAGGTAGGCAACTAGGGTTGTTAGTGATAGTACAGCTTTCCCTGACCACTCATATATAGCCAGCTAGCTACAGGTAGGTAGTTGACTGTACAGTCCTGTTTTTTTATATTCATGGCAAATTATTACATTGCTAGTGCGTTGTACAAATATCTTCATATTGTACTCTTTTATTTCATTGATAGTGCGTTGTATAAATATCTTGATATTGTACTCCTTACACAGATCTTTAAGGAATCAGAGTAGATCTTCTGGATCCTTTAATCGCGAAAATGAGCTGGGCAGGGCTAGAGAGTCCTTGTCGTGGTGAATGTTCACCGATCCCACGGCGCCGACTCAACCGGCGAGAGGGAGGGGGTTTTAGTGGGGTAGGCCCTCCAGTCTGGCGGGAGAGTCCCCACATAACCCCTGAGTCTCCCTGGGCTCAGAGGTATCCATAAGATTTTCCCCACGTCAAAAAAAAAGGCTAGAGAGTCCTGACGAGGCAATCAACTGCCTTCTCTTGCGCATGCATTCAATAATATTTATCTTCCATTTTTGTACGTCGTTTTAACATTTCTGTCAGCAGAATTACATAATTGCTCACTGATGGAAAAGCCCTAATAAGACGTTCCTGCACTCAGACCATGATACATAAAACCTTAGAGGTGTGAAAAAAAAACGCACTATAAGTTTCCGGTCGCCCGTCCACTGCTGTAAACAACAAAAACATCGATGCCGTGCGCCGTATGATCAAAACAGACATGCATGTGACATACCATGAGATTGGGGCATCTTTAGACATAAGCATGACTCAAATACAATCAATACTACACAAACATTTGGGTGTGAAAAAGCTGAGCTCTCGGTGTTTTTTTTATTGAAGCTCAAAAAACGGATCCCGTCACTTGGTGCAATGCCATGCTTACCAGATTCAACGAAGAGGCGTCAAATTTGGTGTGGGACATAGTAATAAGTGACGAAACATGGATTTATAGTTACGATCCCAAAACAAAGCTGCAATCGAGCGTATGGGTCTTTCGAAATGAGCCGAAACTAACCAAAGTGGCGCGCGAGCAAAGTGCCTCCAAGCGGATGATTGCTTTCTTTTTTTAATAAATGTGGGACACGTGGCTACTGTTGCTTTGGAGAATCGTTGTACCGTGAATAGTGATTGGTACACGACCATTTGTTTACCGGAAGTTATTGACAAACTCCGTAAAAATAACCGTAAACGCCGTATCACCTTGCACCACGATAGTGCCAGTTCTCTCACACGGCCAGACAGACAAATGACTTTTTGAAGGTGAACAACGTTGACCTTATTAGCCATCACGCGTACAGGTCCGACCTTGTGACTTTAAGAACCAGTTACGCGGTCAACGATTTTCATCACCTGAAGAGGCTGTCGAAGAGTATGAAAAATTTGTTTCAGAGTTTATCACGGAGGAGTGGCGTAAATGTTTTCAAAATTGGTTCATTCGAATGAAAAAGTGCATTAACGCTAACGGAGAATATTATGAGAAACAATAAATTCATTTCTGACCATTTATAGTATTTTTTTCTTATTCATTCCGGAAACTTATAGTGCTCCACACGTAAAAGGATAGTCTGAAAACCTTACAATCTTTTCCTAGCATGTCCTATCAATTTGCGTAAGGAAAAGAGTTTATTGGTTCAATTGTACATTTATGTACACTCATTTACCTTAACTACTTATCCAATATTTTATTTCTTAGATTCTAAGAAATCTTATTCTTAGTTTTTTTGTGTTAGATCAAAAGATATATAATAATTTAAAGATAGTAATTATTTTTATCATAAGAAATTCTCATAAAAAAATAAGTATTATTATAAGCCAAAGCTAATATCAATTTAGACGAATTATTTATATTTGATACATCGCTTACATTTCGTGCTCTGGCTTCTCCAGCAGATGGGATTTGTACAAAGGGTTCCTGCAGCAAACCTGCTGCATGTACTCCAGGCACCGGCGCCGCTACCAAGGAGTTATGCTAGATTTGGTTCCGTTTAGATTTGTGTCTTAGCGACTGCTGGAACGTAATCTCCTGGATCCGGATCTCGGCCAGATCTAGCAAGCGCGTTGACAGTCAAATGAGCCAGTGCGCAGCAGTTAGACGAATAATGGACCGATGATGACTCAAATGAAACAAGTTCAACTATTTATTGCATATATGTTACCAATATTCAGTCGATAGTCGATATAATATTTATCGACTACAATCACTAGCTGCTTGCAAGCGGGCGTTGACCTATCAAAGTTTTACACAATGAACTGTCATTTTACTCTTAGAGGATGGAAAAAAAAAATAGTCTAAGCATTAGAGCGACCACATGTCGACATAACATGTCCTTTGTTTTCCATAGTCATGGTTGATTTTACTCCACCTCCAAAAAAGACCTTTATACCTTTAGACCTTCAAAACAAACAAAATTGACAAATTATAAGGATTTGACGTTATAATATTTAATTAACATTACATCGACATTTTCGTATCCTGTATAATTCATATTTTAAACTAAAGATTTTACACGGCTCTTACTGAAATACTGAATACTTAAACTGAAGAATCTTACACTGAAGACTTAAATCGAAACGTATCTGCTGTAGAAAAAGAGATACTAATGACTAGGCAGTATGGCCTCGGACCTATGCCTGTTCCCAACGGAACGAATTAAAAAAAAAATCTCTTGTTTTATCTGTCAATTCAATAGTGTCAATGTCAGATGACGGCGTCGTTGTAGCTAGGTATTTTCTATTGTGGGTTTTACAAAATATTATAAACAAATTCATAACATAGTAATGATGTTATAAGATTAATAATAGCAATAGTTGAGTAGTTCATATGTAGGTTTTATTTAGTGGTTTCATACACAGAATTAACTTAAAAAAAAAGAGTTCCAATCCAATCTTCAGTTGTTGACACGTCATGATGGACGCACGAGCAGCAAAACTAGCCTTAGCCCGTCAAAAGGTACGTTTCAATGAATCCCTTCCTTTACTTATTATTTCAGGGATAAGTTTACATTTGGTCACAAGTCGTTTCTGCTGGAAAGGGTGGACTTAATAAGAAAAGTTAAAGAAAAATATAATCTTACTCCAGTTTCACTTTAGCGTATTTTGTGTCATTTCATGTTAACACACAAGTCGTTTATTGGGGCTCTACATTATGATAAAAGTATTTACTACTTGTATAATATTATTTTTTCTTTTTTACAGCTGAAAGATCATCAGGTGAAGAAGACGTTGATAACACCTCAAAAAGATGATAGCTTAGAAGAGCCGCCACAAGGTGTCCAGACACCGCCATACCCTACTGCCAACTCTGGTCCCAGTGAACATACTAACGTTGAGCCAGTAATGTTTGACCCTGCACTCATAAGTGTTATTGAACCTGAACAAGTGTTACCTACAACTGAAGTAATGCCTATTGAAATAGAAGCCACACATTCCAAAGAATCCAATCTGACTTATCAACATGAAATATATGCACAACAGTTTGCACCAACTTCAACTGTACATCACAATCAATTTGCACCAACTGCAACTGTACACCTTAATCAATTTGCTCCTACTGCAAATCCCACCAATTTTCCAGCATCAATTGAACCTGAAGTAAATGTAACTGAAATTCTAATATCCAATAAGAGAAACCTAGAAAACCAGATCAATGAACTGCAAACAAAATTAATCCAATTAGAAAGCAGTCAAACTACAGCTATGAATGAGAACTATTTTTGTAAACAGCAAATAAATAGTTTACAACAAGAGATCAAAAATGTTCAACAAAAATATGTCAGAGTTTCTGAGGAGATTAATGCTAAAGATGCAACTATAAAGGAAATGGAAAAGTTAAAATTATCACTAACTGATGAAAACAATAATTTACAAGAACAGCTAGAATTCACAAAAACAATGCTAACTGCAAAGGAGTCGGAAAACACTGCTCTTCAAAACCAACTGCAAAATCTGCAGAACCAGCTTGATGTCACACAATTACATTTACAGCAAATAAGCAATGGAAATCAGATCAACATGGCCCAACAGAAAAAAGAACATGATGCAGAAGTTTTACTACAAAAAATATCATCCCTTGAGCACCAATTGAAGGTTCTGCAGAAAGAAAGAGACCAAATAAATATACATTATGAGCACTATGTGGCAGAACTAAATGAACAGCTCAAGACATTAGCCATAAAAAACGAACAATTGAACATTGAAGTGACCAGGCTAACAAATAGAGAAACTGGTCTCATTGAGCAAATAAGTGATATGGAAATTAGACTACAGAATTTCCAAATTGTCGCAAAGAAACAAACCCTTGTGGACCAACCAAAAGTATATGAGGAATTGCAGGAATTACAACAAACTTACAGTGGTGTTCAAGTAAGTTTCAATCGTGTAAAGTCACAAGCGCTTTCCTTTTATAAAGGTGTGTATAGTAATGAAAATGTTTGTTTGTTTTGCAGGCAAACTTTGAGCAATTGAGCACCAAATATAATGAGCTACAAAGACTCTATGCAGAAAGTGAAGCCAAGATTAAAGAATTAAACAAAGCTCTTGAAGAAGCCTCTCTTAAGTCTGAATGTAGCCATGACAGCATAAGTATTTCTAAACTGAATGCTGATATTACAAGTGACAAAATAGCAGCGCAGAGAGCAGCAGAGCAAAACAAAAAATTGAAAGCTGATTTACAAGAACTTGAAGAGGCTTTCGTAAAAATTGTAAGTAATATATTTTTAATTTTATATATTAAAATCATTGATCTACCAACTAATGGATGTCGGGTCTAATACAAAAACCACAGAAAAAATATCCAAAATTAACCTATATAAAGGTAGTGTATATATGTAACAAAATATAAAAAAAAGTAAAACATTTAATTTAAGTTGTAGTTTAATCTTACTCATTGCAGTTTAAATCTTGCTTGCAATAATTTAAGGGCCTAAAAATACCAAAACTTAACAAAATACTTAATATAAACTTAATAATTACTTAAACACAAGATTAATGGAGCAGCATTTACTTTACATATTAATTAATTTATATATTTTATTATGTCAAATTTTGTAGTATTCACAAGAAATGGAGTTGGGCAGATACATACATACAAAATTAAATATTATAAATGTGAAAATAACTGTGTCTCTCTGTTTGTTAGTTATGACGTGATTATAAGAAATGTATTGATATTAGATATGAAAACCAATTTACAATAAAACCGTTATGCTTTTAGGTAATTTTGGATGCTTTTCACAAAGGAAAAATTTATGTAGCGTAGGTTTGTTGTGTAATGTTCCTAAAAAAATACATTTGGGATTATGAAAATTTGACCAAACATTATTTCGAGCAAATATATTTTCGGACTTCTGATAGTTAATCCCAAGCTGTAAAACGAGCACAACAATATTTTGTTATTTATTGCTAATGTTTAGTAAAAAATAATTTTAAAAATAAGATTAAAATCAAAGCGACTCTATACTTTGTTTGTTCTGAATATTTCAATCTCTTGTGGTTTGAACAATAATTGAAATTGACCAAAAAGTTTATATAAGCTTCTTGAAATTGACTTAATGGGTCTCTTTGTCTTTTGCGCATGCAATGTGTAGAAAAAGGAAGGATAGCTAGCTATTTGATTATTTTGATTGCTTTTGTAATTTATATTTACGATTAATCTAAATATAAATTAAATATTATACAACTGTACAATATAACACTTTTAAATGATAACTGTGTTAACACAATATATTTGTTAAATTTTTGTTGAATTCAATTATTTTTTATGAAATTACTCCACTAGTTTGTTATAATTATTAAGACAAAGATCGAACACTCAGAAAAAATTCCTTCGATCCGGTCGGATTCGAACCGACGTCTTCTTGCATACCGTATCAGACGCTATACCAACTAAGCCACGGAACGAACCAACGGACCTCACGAATTTTTCTATGTACTTGCGTCGTGTCTTTGTACTTGGTCTTTCAACGACTTTTTAGTCGGAGCGCCATCTATGAGAAATCTATGACAGATTTATCACCCAGTTAGTACCTTTACAGCTACCAGTCCTGGCGAGAGATGTCGCTATTCACTGTATTAATTAAATTTTTGTTGAATTGACAATATATTTGTTTAGTGAAAATGTGATACACAATCTTGTGTTTTCACTTTACTTGAGAAATTTTTACAAGTTTTTATTATAACATACCATCGAGTATTTAACCAGAAATAGAGACGAAATGTCATTTAATTTGTTTGAAAACTATTCTGCCTTATCATTACTGTGACAACTGCGCTCCAATTGGATAGCCCGAGTTCGAAACAATTGACGGGTGTCGCCAACTGTTCCACTTCAAATTGACCAGTTGACGTGAGCTTTGCTTTAATGGACGAAAATTGCAAAATTACATATTTAATATGTAATTAGCGATGAAATGTGATTCAGTTTGTTTTGTAATTAGATGTTTTGCTGTTTTTCCCACACCACCGAATAGAATAGCACGGCATTGTTAGAGATATTATCTTTATTACAATAAATACAGATTTTTTTTTGGAATATACGGAGACGTAAGCACAGGTCAGTAGTTGGCCTGTTTATATTTCAGTGCAAACGGGAGTTGATATTTATAAGAGCTGTATCGCTAATGTGTTACCAGGAATATATGGCCCTTATATCGTCTCTATTTCTGGTTATATACTCGATGTGCCATACTCATCGAGCATATAACCAGAAATAGAGAAGAAATAAGGGCCATCCATTCCTGGCAACTCATCAGGTAAAACTTTTAAATATCAGTTAAACTGGTCGATTTGAAGTGAAACAAATGACGACACTCGTCTATTGTTTCGGATTCGAGCTGGCCAAAGACTGACACGCGATTGACACTCTGTATACGATTTTAACGCCCTATAATTTCGGACAATTTTTAACGTGGACCCGACGTTCATATTTGTTGGTATGTCAATGATTAACACCTATAAACACAATTTAATTATAAAATTCCTTGATTTACTTAATTATTTAAAGTTTTTTAAGTTTTCTGTTTTTTAAACTTATATTAAAGAAACGCGTTTTGCAGAGTACAGACAAATTGGAACTTACAGAAAAAGTAGCAGCTGAAAAGTTTTTAAACAGAGAACTGACAATAAAACTAGCAGAGTTTGAAGAAAAGGCGAAGGATATGCACACTAAGCTAATGGCAAAGGATGAAGAAATGATTAGATTACAAACTAGATGTCGAGAGTTGGAAAGTGAAGTTAATCACATTAAACAAAATGCACAAATGGAAGACCATACAAAAACTCTAGACATGCCTAGAAATGGGGTCACAGATGTTGCGGCCCTTGAACAAGCCTCAGAAGCCATTGATACCTGTAATAATAACACTGAAGTTGAACATCACTGCTTAATTCAAACCAAAGAAGAAAACACTTCAAAGATCCCAAAAGAAGATGCTATGGTGAAACTCCAAGAACGTTTCCTAAAGATAATGGGAGAAGTTGCAGATTTGTCAGATGAAAAACACAGGTTAGAACACATAATCCTTCAATTACAAAATGAAACTGATACCATATGCGAATATGTAGCATTATACCAACAACAACGCAGCTTACTAAAGAAAAGGGATGAAGAAAGGTGTGCTCAGATAAAAATATTTCAACAGGAATGCCAGCAGCTTAAAAATCAATTGGAAGAGCTCAGTGGCATTATTATAAGACTGGCAAAAGATACGGAACTCGCAGTTTATTTCCAGGTCGAACCGCGGCAAAGCGATTTGGCTAAAGTTATGAATTTGCTATCAAACTTGAGAAGCAGTACCTTAGTTGATCCAATGAGAACTAGTTCTGAACTAAAGAACTTCTATCCATGCAGTTGCTGCTCTGGACAATTAATTGAAATTTAGTAATTTATTTTGTAACAATATTTACTTTGTATCCAAAATCTTTATTTGTGGAAAAAAATAATATATATTTTAACTCTACTACTACTCTAACTACGTGGAAGGTCAAGAAACTTTTTTACAAGTAACTAATTTTCAAAATCACTCAATAATTTGAGTGATTTTGAAAATTAGTTACTTATGAACTTATGAAGTAATCAATAGATTTGCTTTTTTTCATGACGGAAATCATATTTTGAATATTTTACCCCAGATTTAAAAAGCGTGGCGTATTCCACCGTTACCATAGTCAGTAGTCATTTAAATTTAGAAGTCAAGATTTAGACAGTCAGCAGTTTTATAATAAGTGCGTTTCACTGTCCACTCTGGATATACCTTATTTCAGTGTCACGATTTTTCAATCTCGAGTAGAACAGCGTCAAGATCAGCAACATGGGAAAGTCGATGCAGTCTGTACCAGTCGCAAAATCTTACAATAAGTTCCTTTCTCCGAAAGATAGATAATAAGATAGTTAGATATTGATAGTTATCATTAATTCATTCATTACTTAATCAATTCTGATTCGAAAGATCGATTGTAGTACGAAACTGTACTCCACAAGCCCATATTATTATGACATACGGACACTAACATCATATATGAATATCGCTAAATCATCAACGTACCGTATAATTTTTAAATTAGCAAAAATTTAAAAAAGATCATATTGAAAACTTAAAATTATTAAGACCTCGAAATATCTCGTATTTACTAAAGACATCTAAATGTCAAGAATTTAAAAATAACTTTGATGTGTAATATATATTATGGGTTCATAAACTCTACCTTGTCAAAATAAAACTGTGGACAATAAAACCCCATTGCAATAAACAGACTAACCAAAATCCACTTTTTAGCAGCGACGCGAACCATGTTAATCCCCATTTTTTACCTTACCAGTGTCGTTTAAGTACTCAATTATATAACATTGGAAGTAGCTAATTTAAAAACTTCTTTACTATATTTTATTTCATTTGTAAGTAGACTGATAAATGTATATGCCCAGTGTAAAAATCGGCCATATTTAATGAATTATGTAATTGTTATTCATTGTAGTTTTTATTAAAGGAAAATCTGAATTTAGACGATATATTTTATTGTTGGCTCCAACATTCACAACGACATATTTTTAACTCCCAATTTCAACGTGTATGCAGTTTGCACATTAGCAATATTGTTGTATATAATTGTATTATTAATTCTCACACAATGAACAAGACTTCATAACTTTCTATAAAATTTGACGTAAACCGTCATAAGAATCCTTCGACAGTGGTGTGTCTAATGAAGCTTAAATTTTAATGAAATAATGTAGAGCTCAAATTACAACATCAATCAGAGAAATACATTCAGTTAAAAAAGTCTAAAGGTCTTGTCAATTGGTTCTATATATTCGAGGAAAAAACAATAAATTGATAACAGTTCTTAGTTCTTACCGTAATTTATAAACTGATGTAGACACAATTCTAATCTAACGCAAACTGGCCTTAGTACAATATACAAAGTAATAATGCCTTAAATTAACCGCCCTTTGTTACTACTAATTTAAATTGAGCAAAATGCAAGGAATTTCGTGAAGCTATTAACAGCCATTGAACTTATTCGTGACATAGAAAATTCAATGGCATTGGCCTTCTTTTTGTGTTATCCAACATACAACAGTCCCGTAACTAGACAATAAATGTAAAACCTATCAAAGATTCTTATTTTCCATTTGATATACAAATGTGGTGGTATTCTAATATAACAAAGACACATACAAAATTCTAGTAAAGTTCTAATTTCAATAAAACAAATTCGTTATGTAATAGTAATACACAAGTACCTCTTAAAAGATTAATCATATTATGTCAATCAAGGTTACTGGTACCACTGGTAGAGGTATAGTTGAAGAAATATTATTTGCACCGATGAATGTTATCTCTTCATACAACTTATCCTTTCTATTACAATAAGGCCATAAAGCCATAAACACAGGCGGTTTCCCCATGTTCCTACAGGGTGCTCCTTATACTGGTAGGAACAAGAGGACTAATATTTCTTTTACTTAAAGCGTACTTGGATTGAACGATCTTGGTCTATCGCACCTGTCATGGGTGCGCTAAATGCTTTTCTGAATTCTAGTTTTCAATCATTTATTAACTCAACAGGTCGTTTTTTTTTACAGTAGGAACTTCGTAAAATACCGGCTGCCGACCTTCTAACTCATGCAACAAGTTATTTATGCATAAATATTATCAAGTTTAGAATTAAGTGCCAATGCGTAAAAATATTTAAACTAGTTGTTTGCACTATACAGATGGTACGTGCGTTACCGAGACGGTTCGCTCTTTTGTCCTATTGTATAAAGATGAAGCGATAAGACGAATCGGTGCAAATAATATTTCGCCAACTATAACATATAAATTCTGTAATATATATATCTTCTTTTTTTTCAATAATTAATAATTTTAGAGAAATGATATGGCTGATAAAGAAAAAATGTTTTATTTCAGCAGTACTTCAATCCACGGATACCCCAGAATTATTGCAGTTCAATAATCTGAGCGTCGTATTCTAGAACTTCATTCAATGCTCAAGTCAGGATTGCCCTGGCAACACAAGCACTGGAAATACGACCCTAATGGCAGGGACTTGAGTATGATTTCGAGTGCTTTAAACCATACTCAAATCCTGACATGAGCACGTATTATACTAGTATGGTTTAAAG